AGTGTACAGCAGTGAAAGTATCTGATTTTTTTGTTTATAATGTTTTATTTCTTGGAAAGTAGCTGAAGGAAGATCGGGCTCTTCAGAGACAGGATATTTGGTCTTACAAATGATTCCCAGGAAAAGGTGGTCCTGCTATAACTGAATTATTGCCCATTAGTGGAGAAGGCAAAATTATTAGGAGAAAGCATATTTTAGAATGGGTAATCAGCCGAAACCGGTTTGGCTCAGTGGGTAGAGCGTCAGCCTGCGGACTGAAAGGTCCCAGGTTCGATTCCGGTCAAGGGCATGTACCTGGGTTGCGGGCACATCCCCAGTGGGAGATGTGCAGTTGGCGGCTGATCGATGTTTCTCTCTCATCGATGTTTCTAACTCTCTATCTCTCTCCCTTCCTCTCTGTAAAAAATCAATAAAATATAGAATGGGTAATCAGGAATAGGAATTTTAGGAGTGTATGCTTGTGGGAGATAAAAAACAAGGAGGTATTCTAGAAGGACATTCTGATGCCTTGAAAACATCTCAGGAAAATATCTAACTAGCTGCTTGTTTGGGAAACAAAACATTCCGTTGGAAACCAGCTATCAAATTAGCAATTTTAAGTGAGAAAAAGAACCCTATGTGCCCCGCCCATTTTTATTAGTCTGGCCTCAGCCCTGCCTCAGTTTAGAATTGAGTTCTTCCTTGGTTTTCTGAGCCAATTTTTAAAAATCTTTGTTTTGCCCTAACCAGTTTGGCTCAGTGGATAGAGCCTCGGCCTGCAGACTGAAGGGTCCCAGGTTCAATTCCAGTCAGGGGCATGTACCTTGGTTGCGGGCGCATCCCCAGTAGGGGGCGTGCAGGAGGCAGCTGATCGATCTTTCTCATCAATGTTTCTAACTCTCCCTCTCCCTTCGATGGGATATATTAAAAAAAAAAAAAAAATCTTATTTATTTCTCTGCCTTTCTCTTATCCACAAGAGGGCAGTGGTGGTGTGTGTGTGGGGGGCGGGGACGTTAAGGATTTGAGAGATTAGTGTAGGATCCACAGTGGTAGGAGTGAGGCAGGGATGATGTGGTTGCTGATGCCATGAAATTGGTGGGTGGTATCAAGTTGATGTTAATAAGCATTCTCTGGTTAAGATCACAACCTGTATGCATTTAAATCTTATAAGAATAGAAAGTGCCCCTCCCCCTTCACTCTCGCTCCTCCTAATCTTATGATGTGTCCAACTGGTGTTGCTCCTACTTGGAGCATTGCAACTTGAGGCTTATAGCAACAAGGACTCCCAGGTATTTGCTTTTGGGACTGAAAGGCTTTCCAATAGGGGCCTTTACTCAGTCCCAGTGTTAGCTCCCTTTCTAGCAAATTTCAGATGCATAGTGGTTCTTGGCCTTCTTTCATGAGATAATATCACAAATTATTGCATGTAAAAAACATTTAGCACAGTGCCTAGCACATAGAAAGTATGCACCTGTTTGTGCCATCTGTGGTCAGATAATATTTGCAGGACTGTCTTCTAAGCCCCCTGGTGCTGAGATCAATGTAAGACCACATTGGAAGAACTTCAGGTAGCAGTCTGATATTGCAGGCAGGCTTGATGAGGTCTTCCCTTAGAGGTCCTTCCTTACTGCAGACTCTAACCAGAACAGATTCCGACTGGCTTTTATGCCAAAGGAGAATGATGCAATAAATACCCCTGCCCCCTAAGTTCAAATGGGTACAAAGGAGATGTGGCCTGACCCTGAGCAATAGCTACACATCCATGTAGTAAATGTAGCACAGGAGACCAGCAGAAAGGCTCCTAAGTGGAGAATCAGTAATACATTTAAGCAATGTGAAAATGCCTGGCAGAGGCAGACTAAAAGTAGGCAGACAGCAGTGAGGACAAAGACTAGCGCCAGAGACTAGACGTTAAACAAGCATTAAATTTTGTTTGGGGGTTTCTTCCCAAGAAAACTCATCAGAAATTTTAAGAGTTTTTATTGTAAGAATGAAAGAATTTACTGGTGTCAACATCATACTCTGAAATGGCTATTGAATCATTACTATTGTTATTTGCTACTGATAATCATAGAATTATCAACTGATACATACTTGAAATAGGCAAAATCACCACTGTTTTAAGACTTGTAATTTTTGTAAATGTTTCACAAGCATTTGAAACAAAGCATGTAAAAAGTCTTGATGTATGTTATAGGAAACCAACTAGCAAATTTATTAGCATTAGGAGACTTCCTAACTAAGTTAAGTGTTAGGAGCTCAAGAATAGCAAGATGAGTTAAACCAAAAGTACATTTATTAGCCCTAGCCAGTTTAGCTCAGTGGATAGAGCACCAGCCGGGTTTGATTCCGGTCAAGGGCACATAACCTTGGTTGCAGGCTCCTCCCTGGGCAGGGCTCGTGCAGGAGGCAAACAACTGACGTGTTTCTCTGACCAATATTTCTATCTTTCCCTCTCCACTCTATAAAAATCTATAAAAATGGAAAAAATATCCTTGGGTGAGGATTAAATTTTTTTTAAAAAGTACATTTATTAGAAACATTTTCTTTTAGCCTTCAATCTAGCTTGCAGGCACTTCTGATTAAAACTTTATTTCTATTTTTAAAATATATATATTTTTATTGATTTTTCTACAGAGAGGAAGGGAAAGGGATAGAGAGTTAGAAACATCGATGAGAGAGAAACATTGATCAGCTGCCTCCTCCACACCCCCCACTGGGGATGTGCCCGCAACCAAGGTACATGCCCTTGACTGGAATCGAACCTGGGACCCTTCAGTCCGAGGGCCGATGCTCTATCCACTAAGCCAAACTGGTCAGGGCTCATCATCAATTTCTTAAAAAAATTACAAGACTCTCTTCAAGTTGCTTCCACCTATAAGGTTGTTTGCAGCTTAAGATCATACCTTGATTCATCGGTTGAATCAAGGTTGAAGTGTTGTGGGGAAAGAACATGCATTTTATTCGACCATCCTCACTAGTTAGTGATTCAGCAGAAAGGTGAACTGGGGAATTGTCCAGAAGTAACAAGCTCTAACATCCTCTTCATGGAATCTTAGAAAGTTAAGTTGAAAATGCTTGACCTCAGGAACAAAATTTTGAAAGAACCATTCTGAAAATAATTCTCTGGTGAACCAAACATTTTTACTAGGTTTATATATAACAGGTAATGTACTTTTGTCCTCTTTCACATTTTTGGGCAGCTTTGATTTTCCAATAATGAGACTTTAACTTATGAGTGCCATCTGCATTTGCATATAAGAGAGCAGATAACCGTTCTCTGTGTATTTTCCTTCCAGGCAGGCAGACATCTTTTCTACTTGTCTGTTCTTTGGCACTGATTTCCAAAAGAGGTCAGTCTCACCCCCACTGTATAGTTGAGCTAGACACAGTTTCTCCTCTTTGATAAGTATGGACAATTTTTGTTGAAATGGCTCAACAGTTTCTGAAACTGAACTTAGGACTTGCTCCACTCATATTTTTCGGTTCCCAATGGGGGTGGGGGAGTGGGTGGGTAGGGGGCGGGCTGGAGGGGTCACTGGGGAGGGGGACATATGTAATACTTTCAACAAAAAATAAATAATAAAAAGCCAACCAGTACTAGCTTTGAAGTCTGTTTGCCCAAAACACTGTGCGAATCTCTGCAGCAGTCTGAAGCTCCACACCTCTAACAGCGACACTAGCTGAGTGTTTCTATTGATACCATATGTAGACAGCATTGTCCACATCACATTTGGTTCCTGTTGTCTTCTTTCTCTTCTCAGCCCCAACTAATGGCATGTCCTGCTTCAGTACAAAGTTCAAAATAAATTTCTTATTCTTTTTAATGTCATAAAATGTTGATTTGCTGATTCCAAATTCATCCTTTACACTTTTAAGAGATCATCCAGCTTCAATCCTACTTAGAATCTTCATTTTATCCTCCAAATTCAATGCTGTATATTTCCCTCTCTTTTTCATACTGAGTTTGGCTTTAAATAACCAACAGGAGAAAAGGGAAAAAACCTTACTGAATTGGAAAAAAACATTCAAACAAAACAAAAACCCCAAAACTAGCTTAATGCCCTAGAAGGCACAGGCATTTGAATTGAAGGATAATGAGCTAACGGGATAAGGGCTTATTATTAAAGTGTTAGTCTAGAGGTAAAGGTATTATGAACTCAGAAAGCTGCCACTTATAAAGGCCTCTCTTGCTTTCACTCCTTCAAGACATGGATGATCAGTTTTCAGAACTTCCCTGCTCCTCTTCTCCCTCAACAGATATAGCAGAACCAGTCAGGAGTAACAGGAATACCTGTATACTCTAAGTCAACACAGAAAAAGACACAAGGAAGAGAGTAGGCAAATTGTGCTCACAAGTAAAGACCCAGGTGAGATAAGCCTCAATAAAAAGTGGTGCTCATCCTGACTAGTGTGCTCAGTGGTTAGAGCATCAGCTTGCACACTGAAGGGTCATGGATTCGATTCCTGGCCAAGGGCATGTTCCTGGGTTGCAGCTTCAATCCCCAGTGGTCAGGGTGCATGCAAACAATTGATATGTCTCTCACATATGGATGTTTCTCCCTCTCTCATTCTTCCCCTTCCTCCTATCCTTCCACTCTCTCTAAAAATCAATGGAAAAAATATCATCGGATCAGGATTAGCAACAACCAAAAAAGTGGTGCTGAGGCGCTGGCCAGGTAGTTCAGCTGGTTAGAGCATTGTCCGAATATGCCAAGGTTGTGGATTCCATATCGTCAGGGCACATACAAGAATCAACCAATAGCCCTAGCTGGTTTGGCTCAATGGATAGAGTGTCTGCCTGCAGACTGAACGGTTCCGGGTTCCATTCCAGTCAAGGGCACATGCCTGGGTTGCGGGCTCCATCCCCAGTAGGGGGCGTGCAGGAGGCAGCCGATCAATGATTCTCTCTCATTGATGTTTCTCTCTCTCCCTCTCCCTTCCTCTCTGAAATTAACAAAAAATATATTTAAAAAAAGAGAATCAACCAATAAGTGCATAAGTAAGTGGACAACAAATCGATGTTTCCCTTCCTCTTTATTTAAAATCAATGAATAAATAAAACTTTTTTTTTAATGGTGCTTGAGAACATGGGAATGTGGAAGCTTCAAAGGCAAGGACAGAGTAATCTTGTGTAGCAGAGATGCAGTGAGGCTCCTCCTCTTCCAAAAGTACCTGATTTTACCTCACTGCCAGAAAAGAAAATGGTGTTAATATTGCTCTGTATGTAGTGTTCACTGGGCAGCAGCCCATCCACCTGGATAGACTCCAAGTTTACCCTGACATTGGGATGTCTAGAGCTAGAATTCAGTAACAGTTATAAATATCTTTAAGTGAAAAAGAAAGTTAGTAGTTTCTGCTGTCCATATGAATGAAATCCAACTTTGATTACATTCAATATAGCATTCTCAAAGACTGATCTTTAACAAAGTCATCTGTAAGAAGGCAAATAATTTGTTACTGGCACCTTTCCACTCTCAGATCTTCCTTGTGCACATCTGGTGTATTCTCAAGTATTATTTTTCAACGAAACTGTTTCAGAATCATGGCAATTCTTAGAGGTGAGTGTAATAGTTTTATAAATATTTCACCATAATTAAAAAGTTAAAAAATTTTTAAAGATCCGTTTTTTTGTTTGTTTTCCTAAATTTACATTAAGGTTTTAAATAATACACATTTTATATTTGAGACTTTATTTGGTTTCTCTTCAGTGTAGATTTTGTTTAATTTGAACCAAGACTCAATTTTTCCACTGCTTGGAAAATTTAAAAAAGTTTCTCTACTGGTATTTCTGATCAATTGTTTCCCATAAATCCTTCTGCTGGCAAAGTCCTCTGTAGCTCAGCTCACTCAAGTAGTCCATTCAGGTCCTCTTTGTGCTGCTCAATTCCATTTATTCCTTAGAAATGTCTTACTCTATTAATGTCATGGTTCTCATTCCAGATATAGAACTTCCTGGGAAGTAACAAAAACTACCATTTTTTTTTTCCCATTCCAGGTGCTATGAAAAAAAAAAGTGTCAGGGAAATGATAAAAATAAATTTCAGTTATTTTCCACTCCTTTAGGGAAGAGCCTGACTGGCTTTCAGTCATTCCTCAACTAATAGAATTCTCACAAGCTGCTTATCTAGGAGTCCAGAAGAGCCTAACCATTAGTTTTCCTCTAACATTGGTTGCAGGAAGTGCCACTGGTTTATGGAGCACTAAGATTATGAAAGAATATCATAGTTAATAGGGTGTGGAGGTAGTTACAGGCTAAGATCAAGCAACCTTGTAAAAGAGGAAGCTATAACTAAGGCAATTCTAAAAAAAAAGTTTTTCAGCCAACAGTAGCACTATTAAGTCCAGCCAATTACCCAGCAAAAATACTCAGCCTGCTATGGCAGTTGGGTGGTGTCTCAAAATAAACTCCATGTATTTGCTTTCATTGCTCCCACCTGTGCATTCATCATTTTCTCAAACCATGATCAGGCAGGAGAAGGTGAGATCAAAGGAAAGACCCACGGAACTTTTATGGGTTCCACAGCAAGAAGTAACTATGGCCTCAAACTTCAACCAGTGAAAATCATCAGTGGCCCTTATTCACTCTTCACCATATTGTGCTTTGTTTTCTCTACTTTCTTTCACAGGGTCTCTTCTCCCACTTCCCTAACCAACTCCCTACCCATGCTATGAATCAGGTCTGCCAATGACATCAAAAGGCACTGCTAGCAGAACTTCCATTTATTCAATTCAGTAAGTTCCAATCATGTGTTCAGCTTTGGGACAGCTGATGAAAATCTCAATGCTAAAAGCATCATTGTCCACTGGTTCTGAGACTGGAAACAATACTGACTTTTTTTTTTTTTAAATATATTTCATTGATTTTTACAGAGAAGAAGGGTGAGGGATAGAGAGTTAGAAATATCAATGAGAGAGAAACATCAATCAGCTGCCTCCTGCACACCCCCCACTGGGGATGTGCCCGCAACCAAGGTACATGCCCTTGACCGGAATCAAACCTGGGACCCTTCAGTTCGCAGGCTGACGCTCTATCCACTGAGCCAAACCGGTTAGGGCAATACTGACTTTTGAAGAAACTAAGTCCCAACCTGGTAGATACTAAGGAAATGGAAATGCTTTGAAACATAAGCAAGTGACTTAGGCAGATGCCTATAGTTACCACATTTAATCTTTTTCTCACTCAAAAAGGATCAAGCTCTATACCTCAGAGGAGTGTAACACCATTCTATCTAAAAGCAAAATAGCGTAATGGCCTGGTTAGTGGTCTCTCATTTTCATTTCCACCTTCAACTTACCTCCAGATGAACACCCTAGAAAGAAGCTCCCTCAAAAACCTTCAAATGATGCTCTGGTATATGCTCTATTAAACGCATTTCTCTTCACTTCCATTCAAAGTACATAGATCTACATGAACTTATTTTCTAACTTTCTTTCCCTAAATGTAGCACAGTTACATTTAGTAAAAATACTAAAAATTTCACACACTAATCTCTCTAGCTTTTCAAGGCTATGCTTTTATGTTACCCCCCCCCCTTATTTTCAACCTTTTTAATCTCACAGCACATAAGTAATCACTAAATTCCTACAGCACACCAAAAAATGTATTATATTTTTTGCTAATCTGACAAAAATATTTCTGTCATGGAGAATGAATTACAATTCATTCACATTGGACAGCTATTGTGTTGGATGCTGTCATTTTTTTTTTTTATTTGACAATGTAAGGGAAAACAGGTCAGTGCCCCTGACTAAACAGTCAGGTATTGAATGTTTTTAAAATTCTTGCAGCACATTGGCTGAAAATCGGTACCTTATAATTTTCCCCAACCAAAATTCAACGTCCATTTCCTTGGAATTTCTGCAGCGTTCAGCTAAAGCCCTCCCTTTTCCTACCCTGTGATACTGATTCATGAAATTGCCTGAGTACTTCTGCCAGATTCCTTGATTAAAATACATTGTTCTATGAAGTTTGCAACACTGACTACGCCTGGTAGACTTAAATAATTCCTTGACTGGTAGAGGCTGGTACTATGAAAACACTAGTAATTAGAACAAAACTAAAACGAAATACTCAGATTCCTTTGAATATGATTTAGTAAATATTTGTGGAATGCATATCTTAATCAGGTAATTCGGCCAGACACGGAAGGAAATACAGGATAAAAAGGTTCCCATTCTACAGGAAGCACGCTGTCCTGAAAAAGGACAACAGGAAACTAAATTACAGTGTAGAAACGGCCAATGGTAAGTTATGTGACCCTCGCAAGTCACCTCTTAGCTCTCAATTTCTGTCATGGAGAACTATAAATGTAACCTATTCCACATACCTCACAAGAAAAAACAATTGTGAGATGCACAGCCTCAAACGGGGTAACCTCAGGTCCGCTGATCCTGAACGGAACAAAGAGGCTTCCTTCTCGAGGCGGTGATGTGCTAGGGACGAAAGCTCGGGTGCGGCCAGCTGGGCCAGGAAGGCCGAGGACCCTGCGAGACTAGCGGGCGGCGACCTTTACCCGGCGGGGCTCCCGGTGACTCGGCCGCAGGCCTCCTGAGGGGACTTAGGAACCACCCCCACGCTCACCGCCTCAGAGCCAGGCCGCGAGACCGCGACTCCCACGGGCCGAGGTGCGCGCAGGGTCCTTCTAGGCTCCACAACCTGGAGACTCTGTAGCATTAACTCTTCCGGCGCAAGGGCTGAACCCTACCGGACTAGGTAGGTTCCTTCCGCGAAGCCTGGCGCCCCTGCGCAGGCCGGCTGACTCAGCTGGGCGGCAGAGCCAGTCGGGAAGTGCACCACTTCCGCTTCCGGTAGGAGCGCGGGTTTCAGACAGTTGCGTAGAGAAGGCCCCAGGCGGGCGAGGCGTCCGGTACGTCCGTCGGGCCTGTTAGGCCTGTGACCTTGCATCCGCACATCTCGGTTCTCTGGACCCCCTCTGGGTGTCGAGAAGCCGATAGCTGCGGTCCTGGAGAAGCCGCCGGAAGTGCGGCGACTTGCGGTAGAGTCGGAGGATGAGGGAGCGGCCCTCACGAAACGCAGCTGTCTGAGGTAACTAAGAATCGATTCCCCTTCGGCGTCGGCTGCGGAGCCTCAGAGACCTGCCGGCCTCTGCTCGAGGCCACTGCAAGGTGGTTGGAGGCGAGACGCTATTTCCGGGAGCCCAGCGACGAGAGCCTGTCTCGGGCGAGGCCGGCCGTCAGGCTCCGGAGGTCGCTCTTCCTGCCCTTTGCGCTGATAACTCCGGGGCCCGCGGCGGCGGCACGCTCGTACGCTGCCCGCTGGCGCAGGGCTCACGAATGCCGAATGCCCTCAGAAAGTCTACGTTCCCGCCTCTGCTGGCGTGTTTTGTTTTGTTTTAGGCAGGGGTGCGGGGAGGCTTGGGAGGCATTGCTGCTGATGTTAACCGCGAGAGCCGCAGTTCAGCCTAAGAAGATCCTTTCTTCTGAGGCAGAAGTCCCCGGGCCTCCCGAGCCGGGTGCACAGCGAGGAGCCGGCCATTCATTTGTGAGCCGTGGCACCCTGCACAGAAGCTCGGGGCGGGTTCTGCTGCATCACCCAGGGAGACGGAGGCTTGTGAAGCTCTCCGTAGGCTCCTTAGAAGTCTAAAAGACCCTCGAAACGTAAAGTCAGAGGAAGGGTCAGCTTAAGTAAGCATCACCAACTGCCCTTCCCCCCCTTTTTACGACTTGGTATTTGGATATACATTTTGTAAAGAAAGGTCGGCTGTGATTTTTCCTAGTGGAAGTAAACAGACATTTTAAAATACAGGTATAAATCTTCTGCGTAGTGCCTTTAATAGGTCTTGCAAAGAAGGTCCGAAAAAAGAACGTTGAGCATCTCAGTTACTTAATTGGGGGATGCTTTCTGAGAAGAAAAGGCTACTTTTTCCCTAATTACGTTCCTTCTACTCTGGTCTCACTGTCTGCTGCCAGTATTCATGCAAGTAAAGGAGAGTCTCAAATGTTCCACGAAGTGAAGGCTTCAATCATTACAAGAGGATGGAGGGTCATAGAAGTTGTGCCTCTTATTAAAAGCAGAAGGCTAGGAGATATATTAAAATTTAAGAGAAACTCAGAATGTTTTCATAATTTATTTATGTATTTTTTACATGATAGGAAGCACATCAATGAACTCTTTGGATAATCCCCAAATTCTTTGGAGTCATTGGGTGCCAATTTTCTCACCCACCAGTTTTCACTGATTTATTATTTTCTTGTAAAGGCAAAGTCATCAGTTGACATTTGTCTTTAATGAGCTGTCTTATAGATCAACTGAATAATATAAAGAAAAGGAGGGAAACCAAGGGCCTGCCTGGCAGTTGATTTTAAAGAGAAGGCAAGCAGGATATTTTCATTTTTCTCTCACAATAAGTAGCAGGTAGTAAAGTTCATGTGATTTTCTTATTGACCTGCTTTTTTTCTGTCCTTGGTGCCTTAGGAAGAAGATCCTTTTATTGATTTTATTCCAGACCAGACTGGGCCTTAGTTGTCAGAGGTGGTACTGGTGGTGTGTGCCCACAGGAACAACTGTTCCAGCAGAATGATGATGGTAGATCTGAAAGTGGCTGAGTACTTGAACCCTCAGATCAGGGCTCTGTGGGAGACCAAGGGACCTGTGACAGAGAGCTCCTCTCAGAGTAAAAAATATACTGCACAAATGGACAGTCTCAGTCCTGAGAGCTTTCGCCAACACTTCCGGAATTTCCACTATCATGAAGCAGCTGGACCCCGTGTGGCTGTTGGCCAACTTCAGGAATTATGCCGTCAATGGCTGAGGCCAGACATACACTCAAAAGAAGAAATCTTGGATCTGCTGGTGCTAGAACAGTTCCTGAACATTCTGCCCAGGGATACTCAGACCCAGATAAAGAAGCACCACCTACAGAGCATTGAAGAGGCTGTGGCCTTGGTAGACCACTTGCAGAGTGAATCTGGTCAAACGAAGACTGGGGTGAGAAGATTCCTGATTAACTTAACAGTGATATAGAATGAAAATAGATAAATGGGGTTAGGGGCAGTTAACTGAGAAGTAAGATGAATTAGATCAATGATCTGTTGTTGCTTTAGGCCATCTAAGGCAGGACCTGAAACCACTGATCTGCAGCAATAGTCATTCCACAGGTGTTGGAGATTCTGGCAGAGACTTCCTTGGCCATAAGAGAGAGTTGCATTTTCCCCTCTTTGGAGCCAGAATATATTGAGTCTGGCTTGGTGTAGGAGATGGGTCTTAAGTTCTAAGAAACAAAGGGCAACAAGAAATTGGAGAAGAAGGGGCAGATCCAAAAAAGGGAGAACATATAAAGATGAAAGGAAAGGATAGTAAAAAGAAAGAGAAACCAAAAAGTTAGTAGGGAAGACTGCAGAGGAAGAAAGGATAAATTAAAAAAAAATGGAAACAAACATTTGGAAATCCCAAAAGAGTGACAGAGAAGAAAGACAGAGGGATAGTGTCCTTCCTACAATAGACAAGAGCCTCCATTGCCCTTCCTTAGTGGTTGGTCCTTGGCTCTGTTGGTGAGTGGGAATCACATCAACTGGCTTCAGGCCTACTGTCAAGAATACAGGGCAGGGCATATGTTTGGTGTCAAGATCATCAGGAGAGAGGTTGCAGTCAGAATCATTCTTTTCCCTTCTCCATTTTATCCACATTCTCTGTAAAACCTTTCCTGACCTTGGAGAAAATCTTAGACAGTTAAATTTTTTAATATTTTGAAGAAAGTATTAAGACAAGAAATCCAGCAGGGATCTAAGTGAAGAGAGAGATACTGTCAAGACAGCATGGGAATAGGCGTCCTGCACAACCCTGCTAGTGGTCTGAGCTGGGCTATATATAGAGGAGTAGGGAGTACTCTTTTGGAGGGCTGGCAGTAGCCACATCTTTTTCCTTTTATCCTGACTTTCTCACATTTGTGGATAGTTTTGTTTTTTTGTTTGTTTTTCTTAATCCTCACCCAAGGATATTTTTCCATTGATTTTTTTAAGAGTGGAAAAGAGAGGGAAAGATAGAAATATTGACATGAGAGAAACACGTCTATTGGTTGCCTCCTGCACACTCTATGACCAGGGCCGGGGAGGAGCCTGCAACCAAGGTATGTGCTCTTGACCGTAATCAAACCCAAGACCCTTAGGTCTGCAGTCCGACGCTCTATCCACTGAGCAAGACCAGCTAGATAGCCCTTGGTGAAAAATTGGTGGCCCATTATGTCTTTTTTTTTTTTTAAGTTTTTTAAAATATGTATTTTTATTGATACCAGAGAGGAAGAGGGAGGGAGAGAGAGAGAAACATTAGTGATGTGAGAGAATCATTGATCAGCTGCCTCCTGCATGCCCCTTACTGGGGATCGAGCCCACAACCTGGGCATGTGCCCTGACAGGGAATCAACTGTGACCTCCTGGTTCATAGGCTGACACTCAACCACTGAGCCATGCAGCCTAGCCCATTATTTCCTTAAGTCTTTTTGTCATTTCCTTTAGTGTCTCATACTTACCACAATCTGGACTCTGCTTTCTCCTCCCTCTTCCACAAGCCCCAAGCCTCAAGTAAGTTCTGGTAACATGGATGGGAATTATTTCTAGGTTGCAGTCCATGTGCTGGGAAAGGAGGCAGTGCTCTTGGGAGAAACAGCAGAGACCTCAGGCTTCAAACTGAAGCCAGCAGAGTCCCAGCCAGTGGGCAGGTCCCAGGATGAAGAATTTTGGAATGAATATCAGGATCTACAACAGCTGAGCAGGAATACTCATAAAGAAACTGAGCCTATGTGTGAGAGGGGTAAGGAGCTTCATCATAATTTCTTTCTGCTGGGAGCTGTCATAGTAATTTGTCCAGCCAGAACATTGTGAGCACTTTCTGGGTTCCCAGCTTTGTGGATGTGCAAATGTAGTCATGTTTGCAATTATGATTACCCTTACCCTTACCCCTCACAGATGGCCTTAGAATAGACCAGCTGTTGTGAAGGTGGGGATTGGCCTAAGGTTCAGAAATATCCAAACCAGAGGACCCTGGTAATAACACCATGAACACTGTTCCTTAGCAAAGGGGAGGATTGGGCCACCCCATCCTCAAATCACAGAAGGAATTGGGATCACAAATGGGCTGTCAGTGGCAGTATGTGAACTATAATTGTGTACCATGAAAATAAATAAATGATAAATAATATATCTCCTACTGTACACTGGAGTCCATGAGTATTTCATTTTAAAATCTGTTAAAATTTTCTTAACTCGGAACTATTTATGTCATGAGAGGAAGTTAATGGTTTTTGTTGTATTCATTTCACTCATGAAAACTGGGCAGCCTATTCTGGGGATTGATAGATACTTGGTTCTTACAATGATAAGGCCATTTCACACTTAAAATGGTTTCCCATCTACTGAAAGAATCAAGATTTTCTTTATTTTAGAAATGAGTGCAGGATGTGCATAGAAGTGAGAGAAACTTCTGATGGCTCTTTTCCACCCATAGCTGTGCCTGCTCACCAGATCCTAGACTTTCCTGAGCAGACAAACACCAAAGACTGGACAGTGGCACCTGAGCTCATCTTGCCTGAGTCCCAGGTGAGCTGTGCTTTTGAGCTCTTCAGGGCTGCCTTTCCCTGCTCCCCATGACCCATACTGCCCAGCAGGTGCTTAGCGGCATTTAGCCTAGATATTCTCCCTGGGTAATTGAACACCTCCCAGACTGTTTGCTGATCCCTTGCCTCCTTCCTTTCTGCCTTTTCACTTAAAAAAAAAAAAAATCATGTATTGTTTATTCCTTCAGTGCCTGGCCTACCATGCAGTTTGTGGGCTGGATGTTAGGGCTGCTTCTGGAGTGGCCAGTACTGAGCTAAAGCCCATTCTCTTCTTTAGAGCTTATTGACATTTGAAGAAGTGGCCGTGTATTTTTCCCAGGAAGAATGGGAATTACTGGATATCAGTCAGAAGACTCTCTACAATGATGTAATGCAGGAAAACTATGAGACTGTCATCTCTCTAGGTAAAGATTCTTTCTGCCCTTTGTGTAGAAGTTGAGTAATCTAATGTTCTTAGCTTACTGGGAATGCACCCTGGTTCCAGTAGCTAGTTGTTTCTCAACTTGATGGTGTGGGCAGGGAAAAGTGTATCCAGATCATCTCAAGCTTTTACAAAGCGCATATGCTCATTCCTTATCCTAAAATTCTCTACTCTCCCTACTTTTCACTCTTGCTTACAAATCTGCTCTTTTATCTTTCCATTTCCATAAATGCCACCACTATTTACCCAATATTTCAGGCCAGAATACTTGGGTCATCCTTTAGTCCAAACATGTCAAACTCGCGGCTGGTGGGCCACGTGCCATAAATGAGGCATGCAGCCTATTGGCCGCGAGTTTGACATGCTTGCTTTAATATGAACTTGCCATTCATAATCCACTACTCATGCATCACTAGTCCTCTTGGCTCCACCTTTGCATCATAGCCTGAGTCCAACCATGTCTCATTCTCTTGCCCTGTTAGCATTCTGGTCTAAGCCAGTGGCTTCTCTAACCAGCTTTGTAACTGGTGCCCTGACACCACTCTTACCTTCCCATAGTCTGTTTTCCACAAAGCAGTCAGAGTCTTTAAAAAAACTGATGAGCCGAAACCGGTTTGGCTCAGTGGATAGAGCGTCAGCCTGCGGACTGAAAGGTCCCAGGTTCGATTCCGGTTAAGGGCATGTACCTGGGTTGCGGGCACATCCCCAGTAGGAGATGTGCAGGAGGCAGCTGATCGATGTTTCTCTCTCATCGATGTTTCTAACTCTCTATCTCTCTCCCTCTCTCCCTTCCTCTCTGTAAAAAATCAATAAAATATATTAAAAAAACAAAAAACTGATGAGATATGACAGTTCTCTGCTTCAAAACCTTACGATAACTTTTCACATTCAGAATAATATCTAAACTCCTTATAAGGTATGTAGGCCCCTCCAAGATCTAGCTCCTACTCACCTACCTGCCACTTGTATCCTGACTCCGTCCACTTTAGCCACACTAGTCTTCTTGCTGTTTCCTTAACTTGCTATGCTCATTTTTACCTTCCTACTTCCTTTACCTGACACACTGGACTCTCTCCTACTTTTTCAGACACCTCTAATTTTTGTCCAACTCAGAATAATTTAGGTAATGTAGGGAAAAAGTGAGACTTCCTTTTATTGACTTCAGTCATGAAAACTGAAGACAGTCAGTTTGGAAACTGGTTGTAGGGCTGATAGCCACTTCTAGGTACCACATAACACTTGTAAACGAGTCCCATTTCTACTGAAAGAATCAGATCTTGTATATTTTAGAAATGTGCCCAGGATGTTCATAGAAGCAAGAGAAATTTCCTATGGCTCTTTTCCATCCACAGCTGTGCCTACTCACCAGATCCTATACTTTCCTGAGCAGACAAACACCAAAGACTGGACAGTGGCACCTGAGCTCATCTTGCCTGAATCCCAGGTGAGCTATGCTTTTGAGCTCTTCAGGGCTGCCTTTCCCTGCTGCCCATGACCCACACTGCCCAGCAGGTGCTAAGAGGCATGTTAGCCCAGATGTTCTCCCTAGGGAACTAGACACCTCCCAGACTGCTGATCCCTTGCCTCCTTCCTTTCTGCCTTCTCACTTAAAAAAATTAATTCCTTCAGTGCCTCGCTTACTATTAATTTCATGGGCCAGATATTAGAACTACTTCTGGAGTGGCAGGTACTGAGCTGAAGCCCATTCTCTTCTTTAGAGCTTATTAACATTTGAAGAGGTGGCCGTGTTTTTTTCCCAAGAAGAATGGGAATTACTGGATCCGGGTGAGAAGGCCCTATACAATGATGTAATGCAGGAAAATTATGAGACTGTCATCTCTCTAGGTAAATATTCTTCCCTTCCCTTTGTATAGAAGCTGAGTAATCTGTCATGTTCTCATCTTACTGTGAATACTCCCCTGAGGGACAGTCTGTTCCAGTACTTATTTGATTCTCAACTTGATGTTTGCAGACGAAAAGTGTATATCCAGATCACCTGGGAACTTTTTCCAAGTACACATTCCTTATCCTACATAGAATTCTGGGTCTCTTTCCCTTAAACCTGCTCTTCTCATATCTTTTTCATCTCAGTAAAGATCAACTCAGTAGCTCAGAGCAAGACACATAGTCATTCTTTCCCATTATCTTGTCGTCATACACCACTACTAATACATCACTATTCTCTTGGTCCATCTTCACAGTATAACCTGAGTCCAACTATGTCTCATCCTCTTGCCTTATTAGCATCCTGGTCTAAATCAGTATCATCTCAAACCAGGCCCATCTTAGTAGCTTTTTAATTGGCTGATGGTACCAACTCTCTTGCCCTCCAATAGTCCGTTTTCTATCCAGCAGCCAGAGTCTTTAAAACCTAATCAGATTATGATATTTTCCTGTTTCAAAATCTTATGATGACTTCTCACCACATTCAGAATAAAATTAAAACTTTTCCTTATCAAAGTTCTCAGACCCTTCAAAATCTGGTGTCTCTTCTCCTTTCTGCCTTCATCTTCTATAGCTTGTGCCCCTTGTTCAGTTCTGTTTAGCCACACTGGTTTTCTTGGAAGCTGTTTTGTTTTGTTTAGTTTTTTAATGTATTGATTTTAGAAAGAAAGGAGGGGAGAAAGGGAGAGACCAGTTTGTTGTTCCACTTATTTATGCATTCATTGGTTGATTCTTGTATATTCCCTGACTGGGGATCAAACCTGCAACCTTGGCGTATTGGGATGACTTTCTAACCAAACTGAGCTACCTGGCCAGGGCTTCTTGCTGTTTTTTGAAATAACCATGCTCATTTCTACTTTCCCTTTTCCTCTACTTGACATACTTTTCTGCTGTATGACAAAACTTGCACCTTTTGTTCTGTTCAAATATCACTTTCTCAAAGAAGTCTTCCACATAGCCATATCTCAAAAAGCTTCACAGAAACAGGATCCTTTTTTTTTTCTTTTTTCTTTTTTTGTTAATCCTCGCCTGAGTATATTTTTCCATTGATTTTTAGGGAGAGTGGAAGAGAGAGGAAAAGACTGAGAGAAACATCGATGTAAGAGAAATACATCGATTGGTTGCCTCCGAATAGGGCCAGGGCCCGAGGAGATGGGAACCAAGGTCTATACCCTTGACCGGGATTGAACCCGGGACCCTTTGGTTCACAAGCCAACATTCTATCCACTGAGCCAAACCGGCTAGGGTAAAAGAATCTTAAATGCTCTCTTACCCTGCTTCAGTTTTTAAAAAAATATATATCATTTCCTGCCCTGGCTGGTGTTTCTAAGTGGTTAGATTAGGGGTGGGCAAACTTTTTGACTCGAGGGCCACAATGGGTTCTTAAACTGGACCAGAGGGCCGGAACAAAATCATGGATGGAGTGTTTGTGTGAACTAATATAAATTCAAAGTAAACATCATTACATAAAAGGGTACGGTCTTTTTTTTTTTAGTTTTATTCATTTCAAACAGGCCGGATCCGGGCCGCGGGCCATAGTTTGCCCACGGCTGGGTTAGATAGAGCGTCGGCTCATGCACTAAAAGGTCATGGGTTGTTCCTGGCCCAGTCAGGGCTCCTGTGGGAGTCAATGTATCTCTCTCACATCAGTGTTTCTCTCCCTGTCACTCTCTTTTTTCCCTTCTATCTAAAAGCGATGGGAAAATATCCTCGGGTGTGGATTAAAAAAAACACACAGAAACCTTTATTACTTCTTGATATTTCCTTTTGTCCGCTTTTTGATGTTTGATTGCCTCAGTTTCCCACTAGAAGATAAGTTCTATGAGATCAGGGGATTTTGGCTTATTCACTACTATATTCCTATTTCATAGAAAGTGTTTGGCATGCCATAGCCAGTTAATACATATTTGTTGAAATATTGAATGATGAATACTTTCTATCCTTGGAAATTTATACGTAGAAAAAGTCCACTAAATGATGCTGATCTGTTTTGTCCAACTGGATATGAACCAGTGAGCTGCAGGAGTGATAGAAATATTTCCTAGTTCAGTTTCTGGTGCTCAAGAGCAAAATAAAAGACTACTATAATTATGGCAGAAATCACTTGTGCATATGATTCCTAATCCACTGACCTTCACATTGGCTCTGCTAGGCCAGGTCTTATTCAGGTGACTCTTAAAGAGTTAATAAGACTCTAAAATCTCTGGAGTTTTAGTCCACCTTGGTCAAGTGTGCAGTTATTGGTGGCAGAAGAGGGGAACGAACATGCACAAAATTCCCATGACTATGTCCTTTCTATCGACCAAGCTAATCTCCACTTCGCATGTCAACCTACAAATGCAGTGTAGTATAAAACTAATAGCTGATATGAAGGTCTAACCATTTAACCATTTGGGGATAACAAATTGTAAGTGTTCTTTACGCTTACTGAAATATCTTGAATTAGTGAACCATTATTAAGTTAGCAATCCTTGACCTCAGTTTTTTCATTTCACAGCCATATTTGTGCTCCCCAAACCTAAAGTCATCTCCTGTCTAGAACAAGGGAAAGAGCCATGGGTTCAAGGATCCACAGAGATCATGGACAGTCCTGGAGAGCTGCCTATAGGTAAATACACTATGGGAAGAGGAGAAATGTGCCTTAATAGGAATCTTTGCAAGGAATTAACATTTTAAGATTCTACTTATCTTATACTACAAATCAGTGATCTTTGATGTTTTTTCCTCTCCATTCCTGTGGTTTTCTTGGCTCTGCCACTCAGTTGGCTGATTGTCATATTAATTCCAACAGGGTTAAAGCTCAAAAATGATACTGAAAATCATCAGCCTATATGTCCTTCTGACTTAGAAATACAAGCTCCTGGAGACATAATATCAAAAAAGGCCAGAGTGAAAGTTCCCCAGAAAACAACAGTCAAAGAAAATCATGGTGATATACATAGGGTGGGGAAATGGCACCAAGACTTTTCAGTGAAGAAAAGAAAGAAACTTTCAACCTGGAAACAAGAGCTGCTGAAACTTATGGATCGTCACAAGAAAGAACGTGCAGGAGAGAAGCCTTTTAAATGCCAGGAATGTGGGAAAAACTTCAGAGTTAGCTCTGACCTTATTAAGCACCAAAGAGTTCACACTGAAGAGAAACCGTATAAATGCCCACAGTGTGATAAGAGGTTTAGATGGAGTTCAGACCTTAATAAGCACTTAACAACACACCAAGGGATAAAACCATATAAATGCTCATGGTGTGGGAAAAGCTTCAGTCAAAATACAAATCTACACACACACCAAAGAATTCACACTGGAGAGAAGCCCTTTACATGTCATGAATGTGGGAAAAAATTCAGTCAGAACTCCCACCTTATTAAACATCGGAGAACCCACACAGGTGAGCAGCCTTATTCCTGTAACATATGCAGAAGAAACTTCAGCAGGCGGTCAAGCCTTCTTAGGCACCAGAAACTCCACCAGTGAAGGGAAAATCGTCCAGTGTCCTCAGTCTGAACAAATTCACCAAGAGGAACTTGACACTAAAGTTTATGAAAAAATAGAAAATTATGAAGCATGATTTTTTCATCAGTGGAATATTACACAGAAAGGAATCAAGTTCAACTCTGCATGGGATGAATTAAAGTTGTTCTACTTACTGTGTTTACTTATAAACTATAGGGAATTCCATAGCAAGATTGGTGTTCTAGGAACATTCTAAAAATGGAAAAAACTGTTTTAGGATTATACCTAAATATCTGAAAATATCAAATTCAGTTTCAGACAGCAGATGAAGCCATAAAATCAATCAGTCTTCTGTGGTCATAGAGGTAAATAGTGTTGGTTTTTCATTGATCTACCCAGCCACTCTTAAACGCATGTGATAGAAACATTTGTAGCATGGTCTTCCAAAACAAAAAGCAATAATAGGCTTGTTTAATTGTATACCATTGTCTTCAAGGTAGCAAGCTTAAAAATTTCATTAGTCTCATGGGATAGAAATGAATTCTAATGTAAAGTTTCCTAAGAACCTAATTGGATTTTCTTCCTCTCTCATCATTGGACTTTGTGTGAGTTTTTTCTTGAACTTTTTAGGAACTTTAGCTCTTGAATTGTATTAGCTCAAATTTTACTTCGATGAAATTATACTTACTTCACCACTAGGGAATCTGCCAGATAACTAATAATGCACTATCTTATGCATCTTATTGGTGGTATTTGAAAAAAGGAAAACATTTCTAATGAGATTATATATAAACTAGAGGCCTGGTGCACGAAATTCATGCACGGCGGGGGGAGGTGGGTGGTACCCTCAGCTCAGCCTGCACCCTCTCCAATCTGGGACCCCTTGGGGGATGTCCAACTGCCGGTTTAGGCCCAATCCAGCAGTCAGACATCCCTCTCACAATCCTGGACTGCTGGCTCCTAGTCGCTCACCTGCCTGCCAACCTGATCGCCCCTCACTGTCTCTGTGTGCTGGCCTGATTGCCCCTAACTGCCCTCCTGCCGGCCTGGTCACCCCTAACTGCCCCCCACTGCTGGCCAGGTTGCCTCCAACTGCCCCCTCCCTGCCGGTATGGTTGCTCCTAACTGCCCCCCACTCCCGCTGGCCTGGTCACCCCTTACTGCCCCCCCAGCCGGCCTGGTCACCCCCAACTGCCCCCCTCTGCCGGACTAGTTGCCCCTAACTGCCCCCCTGCCAGCCTAATTGCCCCTAACTGCACCCCCACCTGCTGACCTGGTCATGCCTAACTGCCCCCCCCCCCCAATGGCCTGATCACCTCTTACTGCACCCCTTGCCGGCCTGGTCGCCCCCAACTGACCCCCCCCCCCCCCCCCCCCGCTGTCCTGGTTGCCCCACGCAGCTTGCTTGTTCAGTCGTTTGATCGTCCCTCACAATCCCCCCTGCTGGCCTG